CAAAAAAAATAGAAATAAAATATTAAAAAATAGAAATAAAATTAAAAAACAGAAATAAAATATAATAAAAAAGTAGAAATAAAATATTAAAAAATAGAAATAAAATCCTAAAAAAAAGAAATAAAATATAATTAAAAAAAATAGAAATAAAATACTGAAAAAGTAGAAATAAAATATAAAAAATAGAAATAAAATGTAAAAAAATAGAAATAAAATACAAAAAAATAGAAATAAAATACAAAAAAATAGAAATAAAATAATTAAAAAAAAGAAATAAAATATAATAAAAAAATAGAAAGAAAATATTAAAAAATAGAAATAAAAAAATGAAATAAAATATAATAAAAAAATAGAAATAAAATATTGAAAAAGTAGAAATAAAATACAAAAAAATAATAGAAATAAAATAGAAATAAAAAAATAGAAATAAAATACAAAAAAATAGAAATAAAATATTTAAAAAAAATAGAAATAAAATACAAAAAAATAATAGAAATAAAATTTAAATAAAAAAAATAGAAATAAAATACAAAAAAATAACAGAAATAAAATATAAAAAACCCAGAAACACGAAACCGAACCCAAAAGGAAAACAGGAATGAAGGCTTTGAGCCCTGCAATGATTCCCACAGGGGGAACCCGACCCCAAAACTGACCCCAAATCCGCCCCATAGGAAACATCTGCAGGAAGAGGCGTAATTAAACCTAATTAAGGAGAGCTGGCGGCTCGTCAAGCTTAATTAGTCAGCAGGGCTTCGTCCTGCTGTTGTTTCCTGGTTGGATGGTTGGGGTTGGGATTGGATCTCTGGGGTTAATTAGGGCGCAGGGGGGTAATTAAAGGTTGTGGGATCGGCGCAAGTTGACGCTCGGGAAGTCGTTAATGTTCGCTTTCTTCGTGTAATTAATTAAGAAGGGGGGGGGAAATGATGGGTGTGTCTCGTTAACGAGGAAAAGCGATGAGATGAGAAGAGGGAAAAAGGGTTTTTTTTAATTAAGGGAGATTTGGGGCCAAATTCCTTCGGTTTGGGATTCAGAACTTTGGTGACGTCGCTTTGGGATTTGGGGGCGCGGGGAGGGAAATGATGCTGATGTGGGATTTTGGGAACGGGATCCGTTTGGGGTTTCGGGTTTGGGGTCACATCAGTGGGATTTGGGGCCGTGAGAGGAAATACTGGTGGGATTTGTGGGGTTTTTGTGTTAAATAACCTCAGTTTGGGGTTTGGGGTCGGGAGGATTTGGGGTGAAATCGATGGGATTTGGGGTGTTTGCCCTAAATAACATCAGTTTGGGATTTGGGAACTGGATCCGTTTGGGGTTTGGGGTCACATCAGTGGGATTTGGGGCGGTGAGAGGAAATATTGATGGGATTTGGGGTGTTTGTGTGTTAAATAATGTCAGTTTGGGGTCAGGGAGATTTGGGGTGAAATCGATGGGATTTGGGGTGTTTGCCCTAAATAACATCAGTTTGGGATTTGGGATTAGGATCCATTTGGGGTTTGGGGACACATTGGTGGGATTTGGGGTGGTGAGAGGAAATATTGATGGGATTTCTGTACTAAATAATGTCAGTTTGGGGTCGGGGGGATTTGGGGTGAAGTCGATGGGATTTGGGGTGTTGTTATCCTAAATGTTTGGGATATGTTTCCTAAATGTTTCCTAAAAGTTTGGGATTTGGGGACAGGATCCGTTTGGGATTTGGGGTCACATCAGCGGGATTTGGGGCCGTGAGAGGAAATATTGGTGGGATTTGGGGTGTTTCTGTGTTATATAACCTCAGTTTGGGGTCGGGGGATTTGGGGTGAAATCGATGGGATTTGGAGCATTTAGTCTAAAAACATCAGTTTGGGATTTGGGAATGGGATCCATTTGGGGTTTGGGGTCACGTCGGTGGGATTTGGGGCAGTGAGAGGAAATATTGGTGGGATTTGGGGTGTTTGTGTGTTAAATAACCTCAGTTTGGGGTTGGGTGGATTTGGGGTGAAATTGGTGTGATTTGGGGCATTTAGCCACTATAGAATTAATTTGGGATTTGGGAACACGATCCGTTTGGGGTTTGGGTCCATATCAATGGGATTTGGGACACTGATCTGAAATGATGTCGATATGGGGTTTTGGAGCAACATCCAATCGGGATTTGGGTCGACATGAGTGGGATTTGGGGCTTTTAGCCTCCGAAACATCAGTTTGGGATTTGGGGACTTTATTCATTTGGGATTTGGGGCAACATCGATGGGTTATGGGGGCACTGAGTTGAAATGATGTCAGTATGGGATTTGGGGCAACACGAGTGGGATTTGGGGCATTTATCCTCTATAGAATCAATTTGGGATTTGGGAACATGATCCATTTGGGTCCATATCAATGGGATTTGGGACACTGAGCTGAAATGATGTCAATATGGGATTTTGGGACATGATCCATTTGGGATTTGGGTCCGTATCCGTGGGTTATGGGGCACTGAGCTGAAATGATGTCAGTATGGGATTTGGGGCAACAGGAGTGGGATTTGGGGCATTTACCCTCAAAAACATCAATTTGGGATTTGGGAACACGATCCATTTGGGTTTGGGGTCCATATCAATGGGATTTGGGACACTGAGCTGAAATGATGTCGAAATGGGATTTGGGGACTTCATTCATTCAGGATTTGGGGCAACATCGATGGGTTATGGGGCACTGAGTTGAAGTGATGTCAGTATGGGATTGGGGGCAATATCAGTGGGATTTGGGGCATTTACCCTCTATAGAATCAATTTGGGATTTGGGAACATGATCCATTTGGGTCCATATCAATGGGATTTGGGACACTGAGCTGAAATGATGTCAATATGGGATTTTGGGACACGATCCATTTGGGATTTGGGTCCATATCCGTGGGTTATGGGGCACTGAGCTGAAGTGATGTCAGTATGGGATTTGGGGCAACACGAGTGGGATTTGTGGCATTTATCCTCTATAGAGTCAATTTGGGATTTGGGAAAACGATCCATTTGGGGTTTGGGTCCATATCAATGGGATTTGGGACACTGAGCTGAAATGATGTCGATATGGGATTTTGGAGCAACATCCAATCGGGATTTGGGGCAACATGAGTGGGATTTGGGGCATTTACCCTCCGAAACATCAGTTTGGGATCTAGGGACTTTATTCATTTGGGATTTGGGGCAACATTGATGGGTTATGGGGCACTGAGCTGAAATGATGTCAATATGGGATTTGGGGCAACACGAGTGGGATTTGGGGCATTTATCCTCTATAGAATCAATTTGGGATTTGGGAACATGATCCATTTGGGTCCATATCAATGGGATTTGGGACACTGAGCTGAAATGATGTCAATATGGGATTTTGGGACATGATCCATTTGGGATTTGTGTCCATATCCGTGGGTTATGGGGCACTGAGCTGAAGTGATGTCAGTATGGGATTTGGGGCAATATCAGTGGGATTTGGGGCATTTATCCTCTATAGAATCAATTTGGGATTTGGGAAAACGATCCATTTGGGGTTTGGGTCCATATCAATGGGATTTGGGACACTGAGCTGAAATGATGTCGATATGGGATTTTGGAGCAACATCCAATCGGGATTTGGGGCAACATGAGTGGGATTTGGGGCATTTACCCTCCGAAACATCAGTTTGGGATCTAGGGACTTTATTCATTTGGGATTTGGGGCAACATTGATGGGTTATGGGGCACTGAGCTGAAATAATGTCAGTATGGGATTGGGGGCAATATCAGTGGGATTTGGGGCACTGAGCTGAAATGATGTTAAAATGGGATCTGGGGACTTTATTCATTTAGGATTTGGGGCAACACCATTGGGTTATGGGGCACTGAGTTGAAATAATGTCAGTATGGGATTTGGGGACTTTATTCATTTCAGATTTGGGACAATATCGATGGGTTATGGGGCACTGAGCTGAAATGATATCAGTATGGGATTTGGGGCAATATCAGTGGGATTTGGGGCACTGAGCTGAAATGATGTCAACATGGGATTTAGGTCAATATCAATGGGATTTGGGGCATTTATCCTCAACGACTCCGCTTTGGGACGTGGGGCACTGAGTCTCATCAACACCCATTTGGGATTGGGGCGATTTCTCCCATATAAAATGACTTTCCCTGCCCTCCAAGAAAAAAAAAAAAAACCCTTTTTTCCCCCCTACCTCCCCCAGTTTCGACACCACAGTGGGGCCGCTGCTTTTTGCCCAGCAGTTTCTGCAGCTCTCCATCCGCCTGCCCAGTGGGAACATTTATGGGATCGGGGAACACGTCCACAAAAGCTTCCGTCACGACCTCAACTGGAGGACGTGGCCGATGCTGAGTCGTGACACGGCGCCCTCCGGGGTACGTAACCCATTTTGGGGCAGTTTCTGCATTTTTTTGGGGGGGGGATTTGGGGGAAATCGGTCATCCGGGTGAGTCAGCGCTCAACCGCGACCCCAAGGGTTGGTTTTCTTCGTGTTGGGTCAATATTTGTATGATTTGGTTAATTATTATTATTGTTGTTGTTTGCTATCTCTCCAACTTTTGAAACGTCGATGATAAATCAAAGTTTGGGTCAAAATTTGCAGAATTTGGTCCATTTTTTTTGTCTTTATCTCACACTCTACAAATGTCGATGATAAATCAAAGTTTGGGTCAATATTTGCAGAATTTGGTCCATTTTTTTTTGGTCTTTATCTCACACTTTACAAATGTCGATGATAAATCAAAGTTTGGGTCAATATTTGCAGAATTCAGTCCATTTTTTGCTCATCTCTCACAGTCTTCAGATCTGGATGATAAATCAAACAAAATTTGGGTCAAAATTTGCACAATTTGGTCCATTTTTTTTTTTTGTCTTTATCTCAAACTCTACAAATGTCGATGATAAATCAAAGTTTGGGTCAACATTTGCACAATTCGGTCCATTTATTTTTGCCTATCTCTCAAACTCTTCAAATGTAAATGATAAACAAAATTTGGGTCAAAATTTGCAGAATTTGGTCCATTTTTGTATCTTTATCTCACACTCTACAGATTTCAATGATAAATCAAAGTTTGGGTCAATATTTGCACAATTCAGTCCATTTTTTTGCACATCTCTCACAGTCTTCAGATCTCGATGATAAATCAAAATTTGGGTCAAAATTTGCACAATTTGGTCCATTTTTTTTTGTCTTTATCTCAAACTCTACAAATGTCGATGATAAATCAAAGTTTGGGTCAATATTTGCACAATTCAGTCCATTTTTTCCTCATCTCTCACACTCTTCAGATTTCAGTGATAAATCAAACAAAGTTTGGGTCAATATTTGCAGAATTTGGTCCATTTTTTTTTTGTCCTTATCTCAAACTCTTCAAATGTCAATGATAAACAAAATTTGGATCAAAATTTGCACAATTTGGTCCTTTTTTTTTGTTTGTTTTTGTCTCACACTCTACAAATGTCGATGATAAATCAAAGTTTGGGTCAATATTTGCAGAATTCAGTCCATTTTTTGCTCATCTCTCACACTCTTCAGATCTTGATGATAAATCAAACAAAGTTTGGGTCAATATTTGCAGAATTTGGTCCATTTTTTTGTTTTTATCTCACACTCTACAGATTTCAATGATAAATCAAAGTTTGGGTCAAAATTTGCATAATTTGGTCCATTTTTTTTTGTCTTTATCTCACACTCTACAAATGTCGATGATAAATCAAAGTTTGGGTCAACATTTGCACAATTTGGTCCATTTATTTTTGCCTATCACTCAAACTCTTCAAATGTCAATGATAAACAAAATTTGTGTCAAAATTTGCACAATTTGGTCCTTTTTTTTTGTTTGTTTTTATCTCACACTCTACAAATGTCGATGAAAAATCAAAGTTTGGGTCAATATTTGCAGAATTTGGTCCATTTTTGTATCTTTATCTCACACTCTACAAATTTCAATGATAAATCAAAGTTTGGGTCAATATTTGCACAATTCAGTCCATTTTTTTGCACATCTCTCACAGTCTTCAGATCTCGATGATAAATCAAACAGAATTTGGGTCAAAATTTGCACAATTCAGTCCATTTTTTGCTTATGTCTCACACTCGTCAGATTTCAATGATAAATCAAAGTTTGGGTCAATATTTGCAGAATTTGGTCCATTTTTGTGTTTTTATCTCACACTCAACAGATTTCAATGATAAATCAAAGTTTGGGTCAACATTTGCAGAATTCGGTCCATTTATTTTTGCCTATCTCTCAAACTCTTCAAATGTCAATGATAAACAAAATTTGTGTCAAAATTTGCACAATTCAGTCCATTTTTTGCTCATCTCTCACACTCTTCGGATTTCAATGAAAAATCAAACAAAGTTTGGGTCAAAATTTGCACAATTTGGTCCATTTTTTTTGTCTTTATCTCACACTCATCAAATTTCAGTGATAAATCAAAGTTTGGCTCAAAATTTGTACAATTTGGTTCTTTTTTTTTTTGTTTTTATCTCACACTCTACAGATTTCAGTGATAAATCAAAGTTTGGGTCAAAATTTGCACAATTCAGTCCATTTTTTGCTCATCTCTCACACTCTTCGGATTTCAACGAAAAATCAAACAAAGTTTGGGTCAAAATTTGCAGAATTTGGTCCATTTTTTTGACTTTATCTCGCACTCTACAAATTTCAATGATAAATCAAGGTTTGGGTCAAAATTTGCACAATTCAGTCCATTTTTTTGCTCAGCTCTCACACTCTTCGGATTTCAATGATAAATCAAACAAAGTTTGGGTCAAAATTTGAACAATTTGGTCCATTTTTTTTGTCTTTATCTCACACTCTACAAATGTTGATGATAAATCGAAGTTTGGGTCAATATTTGCACAATTCAGTCCATTTTTTGCTCATCTCTCACACTCTTCAGATTTCAGTGATAAATCAAACGAAGTTTGGGTCAATATTTGCAGAATTTGGTCCATTTTTTTTTTGTCCTTATCTCAAACTCTTCAAATGTCAATGATAAACAAAATTTGGATCAAAATTTGCACAATTTGGTCCTTTTTTTTTGTTTGTTTTTGTCTCACACTCTACAAATGTCGATGATAAATCAAAGTTTGGGTCAGTATTTGCACAATTCAGTCCATTTTTTTGCTCATCTCTCACACTCTTCAGATCTCGATGATAAATCAAACAAAATTTGGGTCAATATTTGCAGAATTTGGTCCATTTTTTTTTTTTTGTTTTTATCTCACACTCTACAAATGTTGATGATAAATCAAAGTTTGGGTCAACATTTGCACAATTCGGTCCATTTATTTTTGCCTATCTCTCAAACTCTTCAAATGTCAATGATAAACAAAATTTGGGTCAATATTTGCAGAATTTGATTCAATTTTTTGTATTTATCTCACACTCTACAGATTTCAATGATAAATCAAAGTTTGGGTCAATATTTGCACAATTTGCTCCATTTTTTGCTCATCTCTTACACTCCAGATTTCAGTGATAAATCAAACGAAGTTTGGGTCAATATTTGCAGAATTTGGTCCATTTTTTTTGTCTTTATCTCACACTCTACAAATGTCGATGAAAAATCAAAGTTTGGGTCAATATTTGCAGAATTTGGTCCATTTTTTTTGTCTTTATCTCACACTCTACAAATGTTGATGATAAATCGAAGTTTGGGTCAAAATTTGCACAATTCAGTCCATTTTTTTGCTCATCTCTCACACTCTTCAGATCTCGATGATAAATCAAACAAAATTTGGGTCAAAATTTGCCGAATTTGGTCCATTTTTTTTTGTCCTTATCTCACACTCTACAAATGTCGATGATAAATCAAAGTTTGGGTCAACATTTGCACAATTCGGTCCATTTATTTTTGCCTATCACTCAAACTCTTCAAATGTCAATGATAAACAAAATTTGTGTCAAAATTTGCACAATTCAGTCCATTTTTTTGCTCATCTCTCACACTCTTCGGATCTCAATGATAAATCAAACAAAATTTGGGTCAAAATTTGCAGAATTTGGTTCATTTTTTTGTCTTTATCTCACACTCATCAAATTTCATTGATAAATCGAAGTTTGGGTCAAAATTGGCACAATTTGGTCCATTTTTTTGTCTTTATCTCACACTCTACAGATTTCAATGATAAATCAAAGTTTGGGTCAAAATTTGCACAATTCAGTCCATTTTTTTTGCCCATCTCTCAGATTTTGATGAGAAATCAAACAAAGCTTGGGTCAAAATTTGCACCATTTGCTTCATTTTTTTTTTCCCCCCCATTTTTGGGTTTCTTTTGAGAAAAAGAAAAATTTGATTTTTTTTTTTTTTTCTGATAGAGGAAATCGGATGATTTTTTGAGAGAAAAAAATGAATTTTTTTTTGAGAAGAAGGAAATTTTCACCTTTTTTTTTAGGAAAAGGAAATTTCCATTTCACTGTGAGACAGAATGACCCACTGGTCAACATTTACGAATAATTAAAATCATTTCTATTATTAAGAATAATTGTGGGACGTTAATGATGGCCGCACTCATCACCTTTGCACGTGAAGCCATAATTGATCACCTTCATTTATTAAGTTATAATGACTAACAATTAATTACCACAACTAACAGCAATTACAAAATACTGATGACCAGTTTATCAGCTTCGTGTGTTGCAATCGTTACTAACAAAACAATAATTATAATGATTGCAAGATATTAATAATGACCTCAGTTTACCGTCTTCCTATGTAATGCCGTCATTGCAAATAATTAATTAATCACTATAACTAATTAATAATGGCTACGATTGATCGTCTCCACCTACAATATTTGATATTAAAAACAACAATCAGAGCGCAGAGATGATTTCTGTGCAAAGTTCCCCTCCAAACCCAGCCACGAAAAAAGCCTCCCCCCCCCAAATTCTGCTTTGATTTCAACCAACTCGAATTCACCCCCGTTTCAGAGGACAAAAAAATTGAGTTTTGTTTTGTTTTGTTTTAACCGAATTCCCTATTTTTCACCCCAAGAATGTGGAGAACCTCTACGGAGTTCAGACTTTCTTCCTGTGCCTGGAGGACAACAGCGGGGCCTCGCTGGGTGTTTTCCTGCTCAATAGCAATCCCATGGGTGAGCCCTCCTCCACCCTTCTCCCTCAAATCTCTCTTTTTTTGGGGCATTTCGACCCAAATTTTTGGACCTCAGGCTTATTTTGATAGTTCAAATGATAATTTTTTTTTTGGGGGGGGGAGGGGGGAAGGTGGCACTGCAACGCGATTTTGGGATGCAAGCTTGCAGATTTCAAATTTCAGATTGGAGGTTTGAGATTTGAGGTTTGGGATTTGAGATTTGGGGTTGAAATGGAAGATTTGAGATTGAGATTTGAGGTTTTGGATTTGAGATTTGGGTTTAATATTCGGGTTTGAGGTGAGCCCTCCTCCACCCTTCTCCCTCAAATCTCTCTTTTTTTGGGGCGTTTCGACCCAAATTTTTGGACCTCAGGCTTTTTTTGATAGTTCAAATGATAATTTTTT